GTGAGGCCCCAAGAGGAGCTGAGCTTCTGGAAAAGTCAAATTAGGTTATTTAATGGCATACAAATTTAGTTACTCATTGTATATCAGACTCATCAAATGCAGGTGATGTAGTAGAGAATGAAGGTAGTGGAGCACTGGGTAGCTGGACTGATCCAGAGAAGTCCAAGAGTTCCACTTAGAGAGAACTTGAAGCAGTGTAAAGGACATTACCTTCTTTAGGAGATAGCCTGGAAGGGTACTGTGTGAAGAGGTACACAGGTAACAAGAAATTTGAAGATCATCCTGGAGGGGAGCAAATAGCAGGAATTGCAGCCCAGCTGTAGCAATTAGCTCCACGTGTGACGCTAGAAATGTGCAAATATAACCGGTATGGATCTCCAGGGAACGAAATGAAAAAGCTGGCAATTGAGTCAACGCAAAGACAGTGATGACTGGAAGATCACACAGGAGGTATTTGCCCATTTGGACAGAGTTTTGGGTCCTCATGCGTGTGACAGGTTTGGCAGTCATTCGTGAGAATATAGCCATTGCGAAAAATTGAGTTTCAGATGGTGGTGCCCCGGTACATTATAGGTACAGGTGCGTTCATGCAACCTTGATAAACTGGTGGGTTCTTCTCCCACGACTCAGGTGTAAAAGAGTAGATAAAATGTGTCAGAAAACGCATACGGTATGGTATGCAAAGCACTTCGGGGCTTTCAGACGGAAAGCGTTCATCACAGCCGAGGCCAGGGCGGCCAGGCACTACCAGCAGAACCAGTGCACGTCGCGTTGTACATCACACATATTAATCATAGACTCTGGAAATTCTGTAGGAGCAATTCAGTCAGCTATGTAAGGATTAACTTGGCTCTTGAAATTAGAGGATTGGGAGACCTGACTAACAATCACTATGTTCATAGTTTATTTGAATCAGCTAAGAGGCAGAGTATAGTGTTCCAGTTCAGAAAACAGACATAGTTACTATAAGATAACTGATTTCATTGTGTGAGAAATATTCATCATCCCAAGACGTACTGGTACTGAGAGATTTAGGTATCTTTTTATTACTATGTTTCACTGGATTCTAAAGATCTAACCAAGTTGGCGCAATCAAATGTAGAGATGTAACTTTCCATGATAATTATGTGTCAATTCACGTATCAAAAAGCAGAACAGACCAATACTGACAAGGAAGCAATGTCGTAATTCACAATGGAGCAACAGGTAGATTTGAAAGGTAGATTGAATGTGCAAAATTGAGCTGGTTGAAAGTGACAACAAAAGGTTATCTTAATGAGGGAAGACTGCCTTTTGTCACTTTCAAGTTATGCAATAATCTGGTTCAATTGCGTTGACTTGCCCCGAGGTAGGCTAGTGCAGTGTTAAAAAGTGTTCGAAGCAGGACTGCAAGTCTGCAACATATTGTACTTACCAAAGAGCAAAGAGTGTTTGCCGTGACGAAATTTCTTGAAAACAAGAGCTTTCAAGCCACCCAAGCTGCATTTAGGGAAGCCTTCCATGATAGGGATCCACCGGCAAAGTCGACCTCGTGGGAAAAGTGTGCGCAAATACGGAGAACATGGGACAAGCCTTAATTTGAATAAGGATCATTCGGGAAGGAGACGCACAGTGCGAACTCCTGAAAACATTGCTGCCGTTCGACAGCAACTTGTCGAACAGCTAAGGGGAACCAGCTGCAGGAGGAATGGACTTGGACTGTCCCATTATTCGTTTAGCCGCATAACGCATTTAGACCTGCAGTTCCATCCACACCGAATGCACATCCGCCACCAACGTTTGCGTGGAGACCTCAGGAGGAGACGGGGGTTTGCTCAATGGCTCCTGGAACACTGTCAGGCCAATGGAAGGTTTCTTGAATGGTTGACAATCGGGGATAAGGCAGCATTTGGGATGAACGGAGAAGTTAACACCCACAGCAACATGACCAGGACAAACATGACAGAGGACAATTTCATTCACTGGTTTATCCAAAGTGTTACAACTGAGTTTGGATGCCCCATTTTCAAGACAATGGTGTTCAGTCATACATGACAGGAGGTGATACCATCAAGGTATCATTAGAAAGAATACTGCTTCTTGTTTTCGGAGATCCACATACATTATAATCATATCTCATGGTTTGGGCATATTAACCCCTTTCCTCAGGGTTTGTTTTTTTCTGGGACACCCTGTACTGTTGATTCACTCAAAACAAACTGAAGGTAGCAAGACAGTCAATCAAAACTTGTAAGAAGTTTGAATTTTTTCCAGATTATTATAGGATCGTATAACTACATTACAAGCGTTACTACGAGACAGTGTAGTAACAGACTATCTTAGCGATAAATCGACAGAATGCAGTTGTAGTAGGTCTGTAATATTCAAAAGAATCGATAAGTTACGGAAAGTTTTGTAAAAGTCACGAAAATAAAATTTAACACCCAATCAGACATCCTTTCTTTGGAAGTCTACAGCCAGGCGACAGGCTACTTGCAATTAGCAATAGGTTTGTTCAAATTGTTTTTGTTGGAAGGAGTAGCAAGGAAAGTGTTGTGTATAGAACAGACCATTATTTTCCTGTGATACGAAGTATAGCAGGAAGCATTTGTCTGTACCTTACTCTCAAGCATCATCTTTGAGTGTTTAGAGTGAAGAATGGGGGTTAATTTGGTTGAAATGTCAAAGATACCAGGTATAAGGGGCATGGTGTGGTCATTCTAGCCTGCTTCCACCACTCACGGGGTGGGCTCTATTAACCATAATGTGTAAAGATTTGTGATTTTCATATTGAAGATACAGATATACTGGAACCCACTCTGGGAAGTTATTTGAGTATCGATTCATTTTATTCGTATAAAGGAAGTAATAGTCTTGCCAGACAAAGTAAGAGTGTGTAAATCTGCCATGAGGTTTTCCAGAGTTTTAACTCTTTGAGTTTTGTCGCAAGTTTTTCAACCTGGACAGAGAAGATGGGTATAGATCTCTGGAGAAGCACTTAGACTTTAAACTTCAACCAAAGGAATAAAAGTGTAAGTAAGTAACCTTATCAAATCATTTGATGTCAAAATCGATGGGTTTTTTTTTTCAAATTATGTTCACTGAAGAAACAGTCCGAGTTGAAATTCAACACAGCAGGGAAAGTGTATGACCAACATTTCAGTGAGCTGTGTAAAAATTTATTTTATTTGACACCAAAGACAGATTACTTTGAAATATTACGAACAGGAGAATGTATAGAAGCTTGTAATTTGTACTGCACTATAACTGGAAATAGGCTGTACCTGTAATCAGCAATGAGTTTAAATTATTCTGTTGGGAGGAGTTGCAAGGAAAGTGCTGTGTATGAAAAAGGTTGCATCTTCGTGGCCATCAGTTCAAGATGAGTAGGTTACGTCGGTTAAAACCCATTCCGAACAGTTACCTATCCTTCGTGTCTACGCTAGGCCAAATATAAAACTAGCGAGAAGCTATGCTATGTTAAAACGATGCTTTCCTGACGTAACTTTACTATCACTACAATCACAATGAGTAAGAATCGATTGTACAAAAAAGTCTGCAGCCTCAGTTTGCCAAACTATACTTGACGCCCTCTCGTGGTGAGAAATTTGTAAAATCTTCTCCGCGGCGATATATAATGTACCATTGTCCTGCCAGGTTGTGTAATTATTTTGAATATCTTTTTGTGTTTCTGTTTGAACAACAGAAATGGGGTCAAATAAAGTCAAAGAAGATGTTAACAGCCCTTCTAAGAGTAGGAAAATCTGGTTGCTTTTAACACCACATTTCTGTGCTATAAATGGTAAGTTTTAACTTCTCTCCTAGTGTAATCAGGCTTCATACGATGAAGAAACTATAATGTATAGAGAATATTTGACGCTGCACAAGATACTCGGACACAAAAGTGTGTGAGTGGCGTACAGGTGCCTTTCTTGCCCCCTGTATCGATTCCTAGCACAATGACGCACACCAAGTGTGACGACATCTCATAGGAGTTGTCATATAGATCAGAGTGGATTATCCTCTTCAAGGGAAACTTGATATTGTTTCCACCTTAATCCTTTAATCTCCATCATCAAGTGAGCAGTGGGTACAGAAAGGATTACGATGTGTCGGCTTTTCATCTGCGTGCGTGCACTTAGCGGTTTGTAATCCGATAAGCGATTCCAATGAGGGCTTGTCACAACGCAGTTTTTCCCCAACCACCGTTATAGGAAGAGGAGTTTTTGAAGTTCCACTGAGGGAGAGAAAATGCCAGACCCCCCTGCGTGTGAGAACGATCAGGGGTTCGGCTTCCGGTTGAGTCTCTGACGCCGGGGGACGCAAAGCTTGTACGGTTTGGTGGCCTATTGAAAGGGCTGCTTTCAACATAAGCGCGTGGTCTGTGTAAAGCTCCCGGGACAAAAAGAGTTGCTTTTGGCCTAGAGGTTTGTATGGCGCACGGTTGTTAAACTTGGCCTTTTCACACTCACGGAACTGTAGTTTGAACACTGTTATTTTTCCATTTTACTCTTTTGTTGGTGCCAAGGTAAACATACGCACCACGGGAGATCATGAGAATAGCCGGCGTCAATGTGTTTAAACAAACGCACTCTGGTCGAGGAGAGAGGAATCAAAATGTGATAAAGTCCGGTATATAAACTCTGTCTATAACGGTGTGAGAAACTTAACATTTGCCACCGACGGCTTGATGGGATGTGAAGTCATATGTTTTGCTCCTTTCTCTGTGTTGGGCGGTTTACTTACTGAAGTCACTCCGTCCTGTGTGGCGCACTCAACCGATTGACCGAGTCAAGACCGCCCCGAATTCACACGAGTGTCGCTGGCTGCCCCTGCCGACGGGCAAGGAAACTTTGACCGTGACACTGGACACGTGCTTCCTGACTGTTGCAAATTCTATCGGCTCGCGCAAATCACCAACAGAAGTCTTCTCCGTAAAGGGGTTTCGTGCAGGCAACAACAGTTCTACTGCCCAGGGTACTTTGTGAGCGGGTTAGATATCGACAATTAAGTGGGTCAGGAGGCCTCAAACATCCTAGATTTTAACAAACAGCCATCAGATCCTACCGCAATTATTGTGCGCTGCACGTACATGTAGAACAACTTGTCGCTGTCGGGGAGCTTTGAAGAGGAAGGGATTTTACGGCCCACTCAAATTAGTCGGGTAAAAAAGAGAGAAAATCGTAATTATGAAGCGGTGAGTTGAGCTAGACTGCAGCCTTTATGTTCATCGACCTTTGACGTCGACAGAAAGACACGGCGGAAGCCTTTCTTGTATTTTTCCCCATGACAGTTTGGTGAATACGTGCAAAGCCCATAAATCATTGGGCCGAGAATAATGACACATTCTGAATTCAATGCGACGCGTCAGGGTAAGGCATAATGCACATATTTCTGTATACTGCATGCACCCAACTGACAAGATAGACATCGCTGCTGCCGGCACCAACTGATGATACCTAAAGACTGATCTACATGTGTTTTTATCCTGTCCAGGCTCAGTGCGGTGTAGAGCACAAAATGAACATCTCTATCCTGTTCGTGGAGTGAATGGATTTTAACGACTTGTCGTGATTATTACACGGGAGATTCATCACGACAACAAGTGCACATTACCGGAGCGCAATAACACTGTTGTAGCGCTCAGAGAAGAGCTGCCTGCATGCGTGCGTGCACCTGACGTCACCATATATGTTATGACATTATCCACACGCCGGTTCCCCATACGGTGAGCGAGCTACGCAACACGGGGCAGAAGGCACACACACTCACCAATCTCATCGTCAGGCCGGCAAAGACACTCTTCGCCCGAATCACGCACAATTGAATTTTGATTGATTGTGGGCGCGTGTCTCACGATTTTCTTGAGATTAAAATACGGGAAAAAGCAGTGGCAAATCATCTCAAGTGAGGCCAAGTGGTGGAAGTGACCGTATAGGAGCGTGCTGAAAGAGCTGGATTAGTTCCGTGCGATTATCTATTGCAATTATCAGTAACACCTATCGGCAGAAAGTATGAAGATTGTGACGGGCTTCTGTTTATAACGGACGTATTGCCATTGGTGGAAATATCCAAGACTTTGCAAGCCCTCCTTCGGCCTTGCAAACCAGACAGAGCCTCTTCACATTCTTGTCCTAGGCTCTGTGTTGTGATGCGAGGCGTGTAAAACCTGCCCTGGGCAGAGAACAACGGCCATCTAGCGTCGACTTCGTGCGCGAGAGACGATGCCCTGGGACCGAGATTCCACAGCAAGCTTGACCGAGTCATGTTCGGTGTGCCCCGCTGGATGTCTCCAGCAGCCCCTGCCGGTGCTGGGAGATCGGGTCCCGCAAGCGAAGTGGACGACTTTGATTCAATCGGCTGTATCCTCGCCCACTGGTAAGCCAAACCCTTGACAATTACTGAACATGATGTCCTTCACAAAGAGCGATCACTTGCTTTCTCAACTTTACCGTCTTCACTATCGCAAATGTCAAAACTGGCAGTAATGAATTGACAGTAAGAACCATAACCAATCAAGCGAACATGGCCACAAGTAATTTGGTCTTCTTTTTTTCAGTTCTCACTCAGCTGATCAGATCAATTGTAAAGTAGTGCTAGGTTTATAAGCGAACAGAACGCAATACAAATTTAACATATGCTTGCAGTATGGAATACGTGAGAAAATCTTATGCAATCATACAGCATCCTCTGAATATATTGCGCTACAATGATTCCTTTGAAAACCGTGTATGTGTCATATAACACGATCCCGATGATGCTATCAATGAATAGAGGGTTTGCATGGCTGCCATTTTGCAGAACAGAGCCTTTGTTTTATTGGGTATGCACAAAGGAGGTTTCCCTGTGGAGCAAAAGAATTGCCCTATAAGATGGCTACTATATATACTGAAGTTCACAGTGTGCTAGCAAAGTCAACAGCAGCGTCTGTTTAGAAGAGTAGTATAAGATCCATCCACAATTTCCATAAACAAAACTCTGCAACACCAGCGGATTTGCTGAGTTATAATGCAACCATTGATCGGTGCTACGAAGTGTTTAACTGGTCGATAACGGTCGATAGGATTCATGACGATTTCGACTACGCTTGATGAGAACATCAAGCGCGCGTGCTCGAAGACAACTAATAAGTTGTCATTTGAGGCTCTTTAGGAGTGGTATCAAACACCTGTGGCCTCATCGGGGCTTTATCCAAGCACGGCCCGGGGTCTCTGCACTGACGATACAGTGGCAGCCCCTTCGCACGCAATGGCATGCAACAACTTCAATGCGACAACGAAAATTAAGGTTCCTTCTGTATAAACATCACACGCATGGAGTTCAAATATCATAATCATTCTGGGCTCTTCGACGGTTGCCCAGCTAGGGGATTTGTGAAGCGTGCAAGTTTTCTGGTAGCAAGGGCTTTGTTCATGAATGAACGTGGTCTTGCGTGGGCGCCTAACTGCCCTTGGCCTGCGAGCATGAGAAAATAAACCCGATTCGTTTCGTTTCAAACCGTCAGTCGCTTCCGTTTCTTTGAAACTGTACTGTGATCATGAAGTCTTTAATCGTTTCCCGTGGCGTGATGAGGAAATTAACGTCCAGCATGTGACGTAAATTCATTGTATTGTAATTGAATCAAATTAAAGAGAAAGTGAAATTAAAACAGAAGTGAATTTGAAGGCGTTTTTTTTAATGATGTTTATGAAACAGAACGTTTACGAACAGTGCATAAGCCTAATACTGTACATCAAATATGGGTCCATTGGGCCATGCCGAAATTTTTCTTATAGCATAGGTAAAGTTTACGTTTGGACTTTAATGTAATTGTAGTTGTGAATCATAAGCATACCTTTAGATTAACAGCAAATCCTACCCTATTCCTCTGCGACTGTATTTTAGAGCCGTAAAATCATGACTTAAGTCCAATAAACTCCTTATAACAACATCCCTTGCAATAGAGCTGATTGCATTCGCTCCAATTTATAGAGGTGTATATTTACATGCACATTGTTTGCCACAGTGGCAAAGAAAACGCACAGAAACCCACATCAAATTCTAAATATTTACCCTCTCCAGCGACTCCCGCTCTTATAAAAATCTGCTCCTTGTCTGTATATTTACATTAGCACGATTGAAATATGGAGTCTAGTCCCCGCCTCTTGACAAATAGGTCGATTCCGCGAGCAAACGATGATATTTGTCCCCATTATTGCACGTTGTACATGTACATACGCATTTTTGCCAATGGGTGGCCGTTTTTCTGATGTCGTATTTTGATGTCGCAGCAGTCCAGATACCCCGACGGTGTTCGATCACACAGGTGAACATCTGGCTTCGGGAGAGGCCCACCCAGGAATCCACAGATCTTCTTGTCCCTCTCTATGCTACGACATTGTTTAGATACAGCGATTCAGTGGCCAAGCTATGTGTTTGAACTGCTGACATGAGACCAAGGTCTTTTTAACCACTACGAAGTTGGCAAGTTGGCCTCCCGTGGCTTTGCAAGCATGTTCTGAAATCGCGCGTCATTTTCTCGGCTTCAGCTCTGTTAATAGAACTTCTTCCAGAGAGAAATCTGACAGCTAAATTCTTACACTACGTGTATCGTTCTCTTACTGTCAGTTTCATTGTGTCAATCGCTTTCTGTATGCAATATTAGATTCACATCAAATACATACTGCTTGATGCGCCATGACGCTGAGGTTAAACACTTACATTTTACAATTGAATTTGTGTGACCCTTCGATATTTTCTAATGGTTCAACTTCGATTTTTTTTTCTTGGCTCTCTCTTCTTCGCTGTATGCTTGGCTGCATGGTCTTGTTCATGGCCACCACAGTACAGGCGAATTCATCGACACATGTTCTCAGTACCAAACCACATCACACCTTTAGTCGCTGTAGGACGGGATTAAGTGGGCCCAGACAAACCATTCTCCCAGGTTTTCACCTCAAATAAATCAATATCACCTGAGGGCGTGTGAGGACTTTATTGCCCAATTTGAGAAGTGAACGGGGTTTAATTGGAAGGTTAACACCTTCCAAGCGTCTAGTGTGCTGTGGTCCCGGTTTAATGCACCCGGATAATACGGAGTAGGGGGAACTATGCACGGCATCCGGAGTGGCGGAGAATTCCTTGGGGAACATTTTCAGCGTCACGCGTGACTGCAATGAGGTGTCACTTAAAACTCAATTATGTTTCCAGCAGGTCTTGGCCGCTGAGGTTGTGAACTGATGACGAGAAAGTCATCTCAAGGACGATGGTTATCAAATTCATGCTTGATCAGATTCAAATCTGTGATAAGTGTGAATGCCACGTTGGATTTGTACTGTGGGCAAGAATTACTTCTTGCACGATGAGGTACAGGTTTTCCCTTTTTTTCAAACCAAACCTACGAAATATTGGTTATTTGGAGGACTACGTGAAGTTACTAAATCCCAGGACTAACACCGGAGTCACACAACATTACCAAGGAATATTTCCGATTATTCTGTGATTAATCCGATGAGAAAAAATGCAACTAAAGCACTGTCGCCATTCTAATTTAACGGTGACACTGGCACGATATACCACCGATGTTTACACGCAACTGGATCGACTGGTGAAAGTAGCACGACAATGTGAAACGAATGAAATTCCAACATGCAGTACATGCAAGCAAAGTGGACTGTTTTTGCTGATGAATTCCATGCAGTGTGCCCAACTTATGCCGGAGCTTCATACCAAACAGCACACCCCTGCTATAAATCCCATAAAAGGTCTCGCCGTAATAAACCGTTGACCTGGCATTTTCCCCTCGCCTCAAGGGTATCCATTAGAAAAAGAGGGGCATTATATCCATTGGTACAGAAAAACACAACGAAATCCCTGGTTCACAGATAATGCGATTTGGTGGATTTATTGTTCAGTTTGTGCTGTGTGACAAGGCTGGCAGTTCGCTTGAGGTCAAGTTCGGTTTTCAAATTAACAGTACTTCAGTTGTGGTAGAAAGAAACAGCAAGATTAAGTGAAAACTGTGGATGAACGTGTACTGTGTATATGTATTCATACACATGCACGTGTACAGTGAACCTGGTTTTGTAGCTGCGCTTCGAGCAGCTTTCTGGATTTTTAGCATTTTGTTAAATAAATGTCACATTGTAGTGCTAGCACATTCGTAAGTATCCCAACGCTTTTTCTGTATTAGTTGATGAAGTTTAACACAACTACTTAATCCTCTGTGTTGGTTTCTTCAGTAAGTCCCGATATTAGCCTAAGTCGCGTTTCTATGACATCTCATTTTATGATACTGAGTGTATTTGTTTATTTTGTAAGTACATGTATCTATGTAGTAATGTATGAAATTTATGTGATGCTTGCTTTTTCTTTGTCAAGTTTATGATTTTTCTCTCGCTTCAGGGATTATGGTTTAACAACTGCTGTTATTTATGGCATACAAATCACAATTTCACAAATTTCAACGTCAGCCCGGGTCTAGCATGGATCTGTGTGGTTGCTGCAAGCGCAGCAGGATCGCGCTTTCCTGTTGTCAGACGACAAATATTACTGTAGTATACATGGGGCCCGACGTGAGGTCCCACCCAGGCCAAAGCGATATCGCTTGTTGCTCGGGGAAATTGAATCAAATGAGCGTAATCAGAGTTCCCACTGACAATAATCCGAGTTGGCAAATTGCACTGGTCTGATGGAAATCACCTGCAGAAATTGCCTCGATACAATCGAGGTACACGCTGTATGTATTATAGACTATGAGGGAGTATACACAAAAAAATGTAGGCTATTTATTAGCTGTAATTTAGCGTGACATTTGCCATTGTATCACTGACTGAATTCATTGATTTGACAGCCAGTCATGTATATAATAATTAATTACGTAGATTACGGTAACAGAGATTTGCCAGTGCTGCATAATTACGACATTTACTTTAAATTATTTTGCAACATATAGGCCTACTCAAGAGAAATTCCTTGCCTCCTCGAACAAACATTTCTCGTCCAATTACCACGGGTATTACGGACTGTGTTTATATACAGTCATTTATTTTTAGTTCATGGGTTAAGCTCATGGTTGCGCAGCTGAAAGTGGTTCCACGCGTGGGCACGGGAATGCCGCTGCAGTCAGGCCATCGCGTGATGCTGATTTACGGCATGAGTAAGTAGGCCTATGCTCATTGTGAATAACTCAGGGTGTTTTATTTACTGTGATGTCGCCTTAACAACTGCTGTGAGAACAATTCACGTGTATGAGTTTCTTTCCCATAATCAAAAAGATACTTTACTAACCAGCAGCGGGGGCGGATCCACCACATTTTGCTGGGGGTACATTTTTTTCGCCGGGGGGGTACTATATTTGTCACCAGCATCGTTGTTTGGAGCCATTTAATGTTTAGTTG